TGTGAACCGATTTTCCCATAATAAATACTCCTCCATCAAAAGTCCCTTAAGTGACAACTTAAATGCCTTAAAATTATAAAAAATTATAAAATTAAGCTTGTATAAAAAAATTAAGCTAAAGTTATAAAAAAGTATTAAGCTATCATCAAATGAACAAGTAGCAAATGAGGCAAATCTCTAAATGAGAACTCTTGAAAATAAGAATTTAAGACTTCACTTTCAAGTAAGAAAGTTTGTAACATTAAGAGGGTTATAGGTTATATATAGTTATTAGGAAAAAGCAGATAAACTGTTCCACACAGAAATTAAAACAATATTGCAAGCTACAATTCTAATGTTGAAATAAAATTCTAAAAGTTAATACACACAAATGCATCTTTTTCTATTTTTCTAAAACTAAATTTAAAATTAAGGTGATTATATCTCACCATGTTTTATGACATTTATTAATTTTGTATCTTAGTATATTATAAGCACTGTAAATCTGCACTGATGACTGTACTACTGTCCAAACATTTACAATGGACAGCAATAAAGTTCCTTTTTCCTTATATTGAGTCATAATCTGTAAATTACTCTCCATTCAGATGTGCTTTATTCTTGAATAAGCTTTATGAAAATGAAGTTTGTAAATTATTTTATAGCAATTAGGTGGCCTAGTTATGTTGTTTAGGAAAGAAATACAACTTAGCAGATACATAACAGTGTAAAAACCATGAATAGACTAAACTCTTTAAAAAAAAAACACCTCACAATATGGTCTTTCAGTAATCACTAATTTTAAGTGATTTCAATAACCACTGTACTCTGTACAAGTTAAAAATAATCCCTACAAGGGTTAATATTTGAAAAGACATAAACTTATCAAATAATAAAAATACAACAGAAGCCAAAAGTTTCCATGAACTCTAAAGACACTAAATATTTTACAGACTCAGGTTCAGCACTACTAACAAATTATTTTTTAGAGTAATCAATTTTACAAAAATCTTTTACAACTGGATTGTGGTCCTCAATTTTCCTTTGAGAAATCACTTAGTAATCTTTCCTTATCATATAAAAAACTCCAGTCACTACTTTCATAAAATAATTTAACTTTCAACAGGCTAACTGTTGAAATAGTTCATACAACCTGCCAGAGAAAAGTCTTCAATGGCCATTTTAATCCCCCACCTCACAATAAACACAAGCCCCTAACAAAACACTGAAGTGAAACCAAGCAAACCAAAGTGCTTTAGTGTATCAAAATTATTGGAAGTGTAACTATCATTAAAAAGCAAGCTCTTCACTGACTTTTTCCTAATTTTTTTCATATCAACATTTGGCTCAATAAAACCACAACTCTAGAAATTATGTGTTGTTAGTCATTTGATACAATATTTGACACTGCTTTCTATGCATACCATAACTAAAAAGTTTTAGAGAAAGTTTTAAGTCACATTTCACATATAAAGGCACACATACTCTGAAGTGAAAAATGTCCACCCATTTCATTTCTCATATATAAGCAACTGGCAGAATAATTTTAGTTTTATAAACCTGATTATTTTAATTCAATAGGTAAAGTAAAAATAGCATAAACAAATTTTGATTACTGAGAGTAATCTGTTAACCAAATGTCACTCCAAAAATTTTTTTTGAATGGGGGCTTTTTTGAAAAAGTTAAATAAACATTTAATTTGTTCTTGTATACCTAGACAACTATCAACTACTTTTGAAATGTTACAAATCAGAAGAGTTTCTTCATACTTAATTATCTCCTAGGCAAGCAGGTCAAGTTCAGCCTACTGAAATTTTTTAATTAATGCAGTCTCCAAAATTTCCAATTCTTTTTCTTCATACTATTTTTAACTTAGAAAACTTATCATTTTGTGTGGTGTAAAACTATTTCTTCAAGAACTTCTATCATTTCAAAACAAAATTTGCTGTGCACATTTATGTGAAGCTACATATCCAAAGGAATATAACCTCTTCAGACAGAAAATGTTTTATAAAAAAAAAAGACAACTTTCCCACAATATTTAGCAGGACTCATACACATTAGTGTCACTCTACCTTTAAGCAAAATGTTTACTGATATTTGCCAGAATAGTTTTCTATTAAGAATACTCTATTAACACTTATTGCAATTACATAATTTTAACTAAATATTGCCCACTGCTACAATTCACACCACCAAATTTTTTTTGGCCTTAATAGACTAGTACAGTCACCTGGGAACAGTAATTTAATTTAATTCGGTTTTTCATATTTTATACACCGGCCTACCAATAACTCTCAATTCCTGTGATACTTTCCATTCTGCAGAAGGAGGGGCTCTATCCCCCATCCTCGATCAAAACCAGTTTCTTATATCTGAAACTGCAAAGATTAATGCTTTTTGATAAGCACTATCTTTTGAAGTACATAGACAACCAAAACTATGCGCCGTTAAATTTTTCTGGGTTTCTGTCTTATTCAACAAGCTGACTCAGTAAATTTTACTCTGTATGAAAAAGCTAACACACCTACCATCTGAAGCTGGAGTAGTCCACTCTCACCAGCATTTCTGGCTATTAGCTGGTCAATTATACTTGACATGCTACACGAGCCAGAGTGAATTTAAGGGATGCCTAAAGGTGTCAGAGGTCCTGAAACCTAAATAAGGTTGAGTAGCTCTGGCATCACAATACTTAAATTTCAAGTGAGAACTTAGGTTTAATCTTTGCAATCACCATTTGCTGCACACAATCCCTTGAACCGACACAACATTATTATCTGGGATCAAAAACCACTCCATCTCCATTCTATTAGGTGTAACAAGAGCACTGAATATTAAATGCTACTGGAAGTGCAAATTTCATGCCCTATCCTACGCCACCCCACCAGCAGAGAAAAAGGCAAATTTAACAAAGATCTAATAGGAGTGCCGTACGAGGCATATCATGGCACTATTGATCTCAAATGACAAAACTTCTAAATGCCAGTCAAAGTTGTAATTAACTTAAGTTTAAATATACCAACCTCACTTCTGCCCTCAAATAAACACCATATATACTGAAAACGACTGTGCTTCTAAAATTATGCAAACCAGCACACAATTCAAATTTTAAAAGAATCTATCGATGCAACCCAGGAAACTAAGAACAATCACTGCAAGATTTCTGATGCAATATGCGTACGTGCACCACTAATTTTCATTTTAATCTGATCTATACCCCTGATCTAGGGCCTTAAGCCAAGATTTAATCAAAATATGCTCGACCTCAACGGGTCTACTTTTCTGTTCCTTTACTAGACCAGATTACCAAACTCACTAATCTCTAACAGCGAACTGTATTCTGTATTAACGGACAATAGCCTTCAGGAAGAAACCCCATAGATAGCCTAAGAAACCAATCGGTGCCTTGACACTTGCAACCAGGCCAAGAGTTCCGTCTAGCTGAACACACCCTACCTAGGCTGAATGAATTCGAGACACACACACAAAACACACACACACTCCAGAAATGCGACCAGGGTTAAATGTTACAGTCACCCAAACTACGGAAATTTTTCGCATCCGTCTACTCCCACGTTCTAAGAGAAAGTGACAGAAAAAGGTAAAGAAGAGCAGCCGCAGAAATGGATACAGGTCAAGTCTAAGTCGAATCCATCCTCTTGATATCTCCTTTTGTTTCTGCTAACGATCTCTTTGATGATGGCTGTCATGTCTGGGAGCCTGTGGCTGAAGAAAAAGGAGGAGAGAGATGGCAGAAGCTGCTGGTGGCGGGGCTTCTTCTGCAGGATGGAAATGGCTTTGGACTTGGCGGTCGCTGATGCCCCCCGCTCTGCTGCCGCTGGGCTCTGGACCGCAGCCGGGTAATGGCTGCTGCGGCGGCTGCTGGATGGTTGCAACGACTGGGCCTGCTTCTCCTCAGCAACCAGAGGCCTGGAAGCGGCGGCAGCGGAATGGGGAAAAGACGAATAATCCTCGGAACGACTGCCTCCTCCGGCGGCCTCCGGAGCCCGGGCCAAGGGGGGTGCGGCGGCGGCGGAGGGGAGGTTTAAAACCGGCCCGGGTCCCTGGACGTGCCGCCGCCGCCGCCGCCGTGTTGGAGGCAGTAGGAGGGGAGAGACCAACTCTCCGGCGTTCCCAGCCCTGGAAATGGTGACAGGCGGCTCCGACCCCCTTCTCGGAGCTGTAGCCGCTGCGGCTGCCGCCGCTTCTCCCCCCCGCTCCAGGAGCGGGAGGTACCGCCGCCGCACCTCAGCCGGCTCCCGCCCGAGCCCAAGGCTTCCACCTTCCCTTTCAGAAGCCGAGGACGAGGCTGCTGCTGCACGGTTAGAAATGAAGAGGAGGCGAGGAACGCCGCCGCTGCCGCCGCCGCCGCTGGTCGGCCGGCTCCCCGAGGGCGCTGCCCCCGCGGCTGCTCACAGGCGCTGAGAGGGGCTCTGGGCCGCGGCCGCCGCCGTCTCTCATCTCCCTCGCCTGAGCCCGGCCTCGCCTCTCAGCGGCTCAACTCTCAAACTTCCATCATGGCTGCAGCTTCCGAGAGGAGAGAACTAAGCGCAACCGCAGCGCAGCCGCGTCCCGGCGCCCGAACGTGTACCCTGCCGCAGTGCACAAAGAGTCCCGCCACATCACCGTCCGCCGCTCGTCCCGCCCCCTTCGCCGCCGCACCAGGAACCCGAGAGCTCCGGGAGTCCGAGGAAGCGCAGGAGGTGTACGAGAGCGCGCTGGGGGAGGGAAGGACCGGGTAGGGCAGGGGTGGTAGGAGGGGCAGGGTAGCTCCAGGTGCGAACGCCGAGCCCCAACCTGCTAGCGCCGCTGAGCATGCCCAGTGTGGCCCTTCCAGGCTCGCTCGGGCTTGTTCTGAGACGCTGGCCAGTAGCTAACTGCACTTGCCGTGGCTGTTTCGGCAGCAACGCTGGGCGGGGAGGACGAGCTAAGCCTCGGCCTGTGCCCAGAAACGCAGCCGGATGCAGGGCAGGCTGTTGCGGGGTGCTAATAGTGAAAGCTGAGGCGGGTGCGTTGAGTGATGTCACTGACGCGGGTCTGCGGGTACCTGTACACAGGTGCAAAGAACCCGGTGACCGTGTTGGTCAGTGTAAACGGAAATGCAGGTACAGCGAGGACATCCCGCCCCCGGCACCGCTCCTAAGTTTCCCTGGCCAAGGCCTGCAGCCTCAGTCTTTTACACCGCTGTCGGATCACAATCGTTCTCAGAGATTCGACTGCAGCGGCCTTTGCCACGTAATTTCACCTAGCCCCCCCTCCTACCCCCGTGTCCTCAAGGTGTCAGTCTTAGCACAAATAGCACCCCCACTATTGTGTCTCCATTGTGTATCACTTCATTCGGCCCCCTTTTACCTCCCCACCTCCCGCTTCCCCGGCAACTTGGCCCTTTTGCCCTAAAAATGAAACTCGAGCACGGTGAGCGTGATAGCATCGTTCCTGCATTTCTCAGGCCCCAAAAATAACTGTCTAAGTGGACTGAAAGCGGGACCCCCTGGGTGGATGCTTTCACCTGCATTGCCCCCTGGAGGACCGAGCGTTTTCCACAGTTGGGGATCTGGTTCGGTTCACCGGCTCGAACTCAAGCTGGGTCCTCAGAGGCTATATTGCCCCGCCCCTTTTGGGCCATTGTGAAAACCCGGACCGGTGGATTGCCCGCGGGCCAGGTTCCGCGCTCCCCTAGCAGGGAAGTGCGCGATGAAGGCCGGGGTTGCTGGGCCAGCGTGAGAAGTACGCGACGGTAGGAAGCTGCAACCCCTTCGAGTGGGCGGGGCCGAAAAGTCCTAGGAGGGTTCAAAGGAGGTGGAGGGATACACGGGCCAGAGTCGGAACTACTTTCAGGAGGAGGTCACGTGTGTTCCTAGTTGGGGAACTTTCCAAATTCCCACTCGCCTCTGATAGCTGGAGAGGCGAGTGGTTCGCCCTTCGACCGGGGTGCTCCTACCTTATGCAGGCAGCGGGACCCCAGAGTCTCCCAGTTCACGGCGGTTCACGGCGGAAACACAGTGCCTCAGAGGAGGCACCTACTGGAGCGCTGTCGGGGCTGACGCCTTGGGAGCTGGTTACACAAGCACCCACATCCAAGCACGTGCCTCCGCCTTTCCGCACCGTTTGCTGCCGCCGCTGTTTCTTACAGACAGCGTTCTTGGGAACGAGAGTTCCCAAGCTGCTCCCACCTGTGTCCTGCTACCCACAGAGCAAGCCAAATGGCCGGGACTTGAGACTCCTACCTTTGGATCACCTAACACTGCGTATTCTCTACAACAGGAGAAGGGGCTGTGCCATGGAGGTCTGTCTCCCTCGCTAGTGCCCTGCCCCTTAGGGCGAGACTTTCTGGTGCTGTGGCCTCGGAGCAAGAGGGTATCTCTTGCCGCAGACCGCTGCTTGAATACACCGATGTTGCAACAAACTTGCAGTCACTAAGTCACTAACCCTGAGCTGGTGAGCGCGCCCCACCTACTGTAAACTCGGCCAAGTGACTTATCTGGTCCGAGAACCTAATCAATGGCCGTCAGCCCAGAACAAACCTGTCAAGTCTGCTTACAGCCCCATTAGTTGACCCATCCCTGTGAGGCAGCTGGTTCAGAAATGCTGAGAACTGGAACACATTTACCTGGACGTTGATCAGCTACAAAGCGAGTTATCCACCTGCTTGGAGAAAATAGGCACCAATCAACACCAATCTAGGAATTTCTTTCTTTTCTTTCCCCTGGGAAGTAAGACTCAAGGAGACAATTGGAATCCCAAAGTAGTCTGTGTTGAGACCTAGGCTGAGAGGCACTGGATTGGTTTAGGCACTGGAAGAATAGAGATCAGTTTGCATGAGTATTGCAGTAATTGGGAGTAGTTGCCTAGGAAGGTCTAAAGAAGACTTATTCTGTATATGAAAAAGAAGATTGTATGTGAGCACATTATAATCGTAGGCAATCCCTGAAGACTAGAAACCCCAGGAGACCTAGCTTGGAAGCCACAGGCCATTACCTAACTCCAAGACTACTAATTAAACCAGGGATACTTACAGTGTTCTTAGCTATCTCTTATGCTCCATAAATCTTGCATTTATATTTAACACCCTTTTAAGATGGGTCTACAAGAGTTAGCATCCTGCTGAAAAATCACTGGAAGCTGATTTTGCACATGGTCCTGGCCAGCTTGGGGGAGACAGGAGCCAATGTGGAAAGGGCAATGAAGAGCAACCTGGAAGGTGTAGGAGAAAAGCCTGCTCCTACTTTGTTTTCCAAAGATGAAAGTTCTGTCCACACAGCCTAGTGGGAGCTAGAGATTTCTTTATTCTAGAAATTACAAAGGACAAAGAGTCGCTGATTTCTAGGTGTTCCACCAGAGTGCATGGTAAGAATCTGAGCTGTGATCGGATGAATATCAACTACTGCTTGAAGTGGGCAAGGCAAAATGAAGATGAAATTAAAAGAGGGGAAGTAGATTGGGGAGGGGTAAAATGTCCCATGTTTGTTTCTCAGGTTGCTGAGCTTGTCCCAGGGTCCCTGAAGGCTACCCTATGTAAGAATTACTCTTACAGCATCGGAGAAGTTCTGAAATCCACTCCTGGGAAAAACATGTATTCGTTCATTTCTGCCCTGCTGGAGTTAGGCATGAGGAGAGAGGATTCTTTTCAATTCCCATGACACAGAGTTACTGTGGAGCAGAGAGGGGATGCATCACCAGCACTGAAGTGTGGGAATATGAGACTGGCCCACAAGCACTTCCATCAGCTAAAGGGAGAAAATGGGAAATAGTTTTGCTGCTACTCTAAACATCAGGTCCCTGTACTTTTCTGATCACCAATGTTGGCAGATATTTGGCCAGCCTGACAGCAGTATCAGGCAGTTATTAGAAGTTGCTGAATAAAAATCTCCTCTTTCCACTGTTAAGCAGATTCCTGAAGGAAAGAGTGATGTATCCTTTTTCAATTTTGTTTTTCTTCGCTTTTTTCTTCTACCCAAAAAATCTCCTTACCTAGGTGGTAGAGCTGAAACCCCTAAATAGCGGACCCTATCTAATGTATAGAAAGTTAAATTTTATTTAGTTATTTTTTAAGTACAGTTTTTTGTCTGTTTCTCCCATCCCAGCCCCCCCTGCCCCGTCTCCCCACCCCCCTCTCATTCCCCCCCGAAAGTTTTTTAAAATAATTTTAAAAATTCAATGGCAAATATTTGCTTGACAGTACAGATAACACAATACATATTGGTTTCCAAACACCAGTTCTTTACCCGTTGGGATTCAGAACACCCTAGGGAGAAACAGAAGCTTGTATATAACAAAGAAAGAATTATATAAAGCTTCAGGGAGACTATATAGAATATGAAAAATGAGCTTTAATTATAGTTTCTAACAACTAACTCTAAAACTGTATTGTTAGTACACCCAAAGAATATCCAAAGAAAATATCTTGATAAATGAAATGACCAGCAACTTGATGTAGATGATATAAATGGTTGATCTGATCCCTGTAGGTCCTGCTACAAGCATGTCTTTCATTGAACACTGCATGCTGTAGTGCCTTTCTCACCTCTCACACACTGACTTTTCAAATAGAGACATAAATCAATGGCTTTAATTTTAAAGCAATTTTCTCTATTTGTATTGTTCAACCACTGTTTTCGATGTAATGCAGGATAGAAAAATACAATAGTTATAGGTTTGAATCTGAACCATTCCATTCTTCCAATGGTCCAAAGGCTTTCCCTTTATTTCATTTATCTTGATTACAAATATTGCTGTTCTTTTAAATAAATATATTTTCCCAAGGCATTTCAGCAGAAAGCTCTGCTATGGATTATACAAGTAACCATGTCCTAAAAGATTCGTGATTGTCTATGAACTTCATGTCCTAAATCTGTCCTGGAGCTATTTCAGATGGCCCTTATTTTTCTTTCACATCTCAATAGAGAGGTATGCTGTATGAAATTATCACTCTAAGAAATAAAGACTGGTCTGGATACTCCTGGGAGAACCAAAGAGTAGATCAGGCGTTCACTGCGCCCATGTGGTATTCAGAAATTGTGATCTAGATTACAGCATGATGAAAAAAAAGACCCAACATGGCAAGACAGCTTTGACTGTTTTCATCTCTAGTCTGACATTGGCTGTTGGATATTCTAATTTGGTCCCCTTAATATTAATTCTAACTCTAGTTCTATGGAACACACATTCTGCTTTTTAGCTCTTCCAATAATAGAAAATATAATAAGTTTTATATACCAGCAGGTATTGGGGCATTTAACCAGCCACCTTACAAGGTAGCCCTCATTTGTTTATGTATAGGAGGCACATTGAGAAGAGTCAAGTTTGACCCTTTCCCCACTCCTATCTTTTCCTTCAGAACTTCCTGCTGGTTTCTGAGACATCACTTTTTTCTGATAACAAAGAATACCTTTTTCAAAGAGTAAATGCATGGGATAAACTCAATTTAAAGTATCTTTTTTTGTCTGTCTTCTTGGTTTGTGGTCTTCATTCATTCATTTAATAATTCCACCAACAAATATTTGGGTGTCTGTTATGTGCCAGTACTGTGCTAAGCTCTGTAAATAGAGTAATGATATGGCTATGGTCCTGCTGTTATGAATTTAGTCTCCTTGGAGGAAAGTGAAAGCAATAGAAAATACCCTGAAGTTTGATAACTTTCAATTATTTACTGCTATATAACAAACCATCATAAACTTGATGGCTTAAAAAAATCATTTATTTTTTCAGATCTCAGCAGTTTGGAGAAGGAGAGTGATTCTTCTTCTCCAGGATGTCAGCTGGGGTCAGACATGTGGTTGCATTCAGCTGTGAGTTTGTATGGGGCTGGAATGCCCAAGATGGCTTCACCCACATGTCTAGCACCTCAGCTTGACATGAGGAGCTCAAATGGCTACAGCCTTCCCTCTCATCCTATAGTTGCTCATCATTTTGAGGTCCAGCCCAAGCTTCTTTTGCACAATGACTGGATCCAAGAAGAATAAAAACAAAAACTACAAAGTCTCTTGAAGCTGAAGTTTAGAAGTCCCATAACATCACATTCATTGTATTCTTTTGGCCAAAGCAAGTCAGAAGGCCAGCCAGAGGAAAGACTCTCCTTCTTAACGGAAGCAGTGACTGTGATGGGAGGAATAATTAGCAGTCTTATTTGGAAACATTCCGTCATTATCCGCCTTGTGGCCACAAAAATTCAGACATACACACCCACAAAGACATGCAAAATATACTTCCTTTCTCCCCGCAAATGATCATTCTGTATGGCATTGGCTCTAAGGTCTAAAATCTGGTCATTTACAGTAGGCCCAGAAGTGGATGAGGCATTTCAGATGCTGCTCCTCTTCATCTTGAGACCTGTGCACTAAAAAGACAAGTTACATACATAACATACAGGGATAGAATCCCTGTGATAGACACTCCTGTACAATAGATGCTCCTGTTCAAGGGAGAGGGGTGATAGAAGGCACACAGCAGTCACTAGTCTGTAGCAGTCTGAAAGACAGCCGAACATTGTCATCCTGACTCTGAGGATCTAGTTCTCCAATAGATCCTGCTTCTTCTCCCTCAGAGTAGTTCCCTAACCCAGTGTTCCTGACTCCTGCTCTGGGGTTCAAGCTATCCTCTCTGAGTTAATCTTCCTTTTCCATAAGAAACTGCCTGCCCTTTGCAGTTGAATATCTCCCTCAGGCTCCTTCCTACCCATAGAACTTTGGGGGCCTAGAGGCTTTTATTTTCCTAGTTTGAACTATCTCCTCCTCCTTTAGTCCAAGCTGCTGGTGGTCTTCTCAATACAGTTCTATTTAAAATTTTGTGGGTTTTCTATCACTTATCGGAGTCCACTCCTTGCCCACCAAAGCAACATTTTTAATTCTCTCACTTTGAGCCCTGTTGGACCCTGAAGATTCCTAGAAGCTCTTTGTTCTAGATAAGAGGGTCCATAAGGCAATATCTTAACTTTTTTAGAGGTCTTAACATAGAATTCTGATTAGATCTTCAAGGTGAGGCCACATTTTACAAGCTGGCCCCTGAGGCCATTTCTTACTTTGAGGCTCTTGCTGGCTAAAGAGACTGGCCCTACAAGACAGGGCCCTCAAAGGCCCTGTATATTTCCTCTACAATCTTTTGGAAAACTAAATAGTTCCTTTCTTATGACATCTCTCTTGTGATACCATCTAACATCATTAAAAGAAGCCAACTGAAAATTTGGCAGTTAATCTTGAATTAGGCACATTTTCTACCCTCT